TGTGTGTGTGTGTGTGTGTGGCCAGCTCAGCCCACCAGGGGGCGGGGCTGGCTGGCATGTGGTGCTGGGGGATTGAACCGCGGTCCCTGTGCTTCGCCAAGCCTGCTCCAAGTAGGTGCTTTAGACCACTGAGCCATCCCACCAGCCCGAGATCAATTCTTAAAGTCACTTAAAGTTGTGATTAGATTTCTCACTCTTTTCTGCAAAAGTTTTATAGGAGCAAAATGAAAACCTTGGTAACTGATTTATTTATTATCAAGGGCCGGCCAAAATGAAAACCTTGGTAACTGATTTATTTATTATCAAGGGCCGGCCCTTGGTATCTGATTTAAAAATAAAGATGCCCTCAGGCAACACCTAAGTGGACCACCAAGACACAGGGCCTGTCTTTCCAGGTGAGTCTCTATCAGTAGCGTGACCTGGCAACAAAGTCCTTGTTAAAAATAATCCTACTCAGGCTGATCAAATAGCTCAGTGGATTAAAAGTGCCTGCAAACAGGTGCAGGGGCCGAGGTTTGTGCCTGCCCTGCCCCCGGGGCATGCTGAGATGGCGCATGAGACTGGGCATGGTGGTGCGTGCCTGTAATCCCAGCTCTTGTGAGGCTGTAAACAGGGGGATCACTACGAGTCCGATCTAGTAGTGAGACCCTGAACACCCTGTAGACCCTTCCCTAAAATACAAAAAGACAACTCAGAAAAATAGTACTCAGGGTGAGAGGAGATAATCTAAACCTACACCCCACCTCACCCCGTCCACTTATGTCCTAATCACCCTACCAGTCTTCTGCTATTTCTTGTACATAACCCACTCTAACGGCACTGCAGCCCAGGTAGGAGTAATGAGCATAAATGAAGATGCACTGGCGAGGGCAGTGAGGAGACTTTTAAGTTTTAAGTTTAGTCTGCTATCTTCATGGCTCTATTATTTAGTTTTTAATTATCACACAAAAAAGGATAATCAAAGCAAAGAGGGAAGAGACAGAATTAGCAGGCTCATGTGAAACTGTAATGCAGTGCAAAATCTGAGCTGGTCTTCATACCTACTTCTGATTTCAGATAATATAAAAATGAATGTACCACATCCTAAGACTAGCCTTTTGGCATTTAAAACTAGCACATAATAGCAGAATATGAAGAAACAACATTGCAAACATCAAAAACTAGTCAAGGAATATATTTGTGTGAGGACATTTTGTATCTACTAGAAAGGAACTCTGCATTGTTTTGGATACAGCAGAAAACAATGGGAAAGGTTGAAACAAAATTTATTTTCAGCACAAGAAACATGGCCACATGTAAGGTAAAGGGAAAAGAGTATACTTTTCTAGAAACAACCGTTTTACAAATATCTTTTTTTTTTTTTGCTTTTCTGTTTTAATTGTGTGCTCAACACCTGAACTAGTAAAAGAAAATATAACAAAAATCAATTACATTTAAGAACAATAGAAACTGTTTCTAAAAATCTTTAAGGACTGGGGAGAGAGCTCAGTAGAATAAGTGCTTGCCTGGCAAGTGCAGGGTCCTGAGTTCAATCCCTGGTACCGTTAAAAAAAAGGCGGGGAGGGGAACATCTTTAGTTATTCTTTAGGAACCATAAAGTCTCCAAATAGTTCAAGGGAAAAAAAACACTAGTGAAAACAAAAGGAAAAAAAAAGAAATCAAGAAAGAATTTTCTAATTTTAGACACTTAACAGAGTCTCCTTTAAGAAAAACCGAAGTCCACCAAGGCCAAAGCATTTCATCGCTTCTCAGGAACAGCAGCAGCTGGAGATCCTCCATGCCTGCTCGTCTCCAAAAGGAAAACTGCTCCCACAGGTTTAGGCCGAAATGCTCTTAAAACAGATACAGACTCCAAGAACATTTAAGGACTGTGGGATTCTATTTTGGTGCTTGTCTAATTAGTGATACATATATAAAAATTGTCAAATACTTCACAGAAAAATTTAGAAGGAAAAAACCCTCTCACCAATCATTTATTATTATTTTTTTAAATTTTATTTATTTATTTATGTGTGTGTGTATGGGGGCCAGCTCAGACCACCAGGGGGTGGGGCTGGCTGGCATGTAGTGCTGGGGGATTGAACCCTGGTTCCTGTGCTTTGCTAAGCTTGTTCTAAGTAGGTACTTTAGACCACTGAGCCATCTCACCAGCCCCCACTTATTATTGATGTGTATATTCCCCATCAGTAAATATCAAACTAAAATTTTAAAAAGACAAAGAGGGACAAGAAGTATTACTAAAGTGCTAGTATCTCAATTCTTTTGTAAATAATACTTTATGAGGGAATATCGAACAGGAGATGATCATAAGAAATTTGAAATAATTCAAGATACTTTGTTGGGGGCCGGGAGATGGCTCAGTAGAATAAGCGCTTGCCTGGCAAGCAGAAGGGCCTGAGTTCAATCCCTGGTTCCGTCCCCCACACCCCAAAAAAAGATATTTCGTTGGGATATAGCTCACTGGTAAATTGTTTTCATAGTATGTACCAAGCTGTAGGTTCAATTCTCAGCACACACGCACACGCACACACACACAGAAAAAGAGAGAAAGGAAAAAAAATCTAAAAAAAGGTATTCAAGGAAAGGTACAAGCAATTCTTTCTACCTGACAGCGATGTGGTAGGAGTGACGGAGGCGACAGGAATCTGTGGCACAGACGCACTGGAGAAGGAGCTGTAACTGGCGGAGCTGGGCCCGCTGGTGCTGCTGCTGACTCCACTGGCAAGAGGTGGTGCTGCTGACGTCACTGGAGAGCCCTTTTCCCGTACATTTGGAGAATTCTCCCAGGCCTTGCGTGCAGACTCCATCTGCAACAAAACGGACATGTGTTGAGGAGGAAAAGAAATGTTAATATAGAATAAACATATACACACACATATACAAAAACTATAAAAATAAACATCTATAGCTTTCAAATTTCACTTGTCCTTTTATCTTTCTTTATTCCTTTACTCAAACTGTGTGTGTTGTGTGTGGGGGGTAACTTGATACTACAGATTATTTTCTTACAAATTAGTATTTTTTTTCTTAGGTTTTCTGAGACATGATATCACAATGGGATTGAGGCTGGCTTAGTGCTGGGAAAAAGGGAATTTTCTGACAGCATTAGGAAATTTAGGATTACCTAAACATAAACTCTACCACCTACTGGTTAGTTTAAAAAGCAAAAAGAAAAGAAAATCTAATTCCCCTTTGTTGTAGCCATCTGAATTGTGAGCTTGGTATTTTTTGGACAATGATTTTACTGTGTCACCCAGGCTCACTATATAGCCCATCTAGCTTCACATTTTTCATCCTCTTGCCTCAGCCTCCCAAGTGCTGAGATTACTGGTATGAGACACCATACCAGACAGAAAACAGGTTTTATCTCATCCTATTCAGAGCAGGACTACTGAGCAATATCAAGATATTATATAAATACAGCCTTCATATAAACATGCTCTAGTAGCTGCATTTTAAAAAGTTAAAAAAGGGGCACTATTGTGCTAACATTCTATCCAACACAACTGCAGTAATAATCTACATAAAAATTAGGATACTACTGTTTAACATAAAATTTCAAATGCAGCACCTACTTTATCTTATCCTTATAACACACCTGAATTTGCAGTAGCCACAGGTTAAGAGCTCAATTAACTACATGTAGCTAGTAAATTCTAAAGGGTCCAGCATTTGAATTGAAATTATGATACCTCAGAGCCATTTTAACAAGAGGACACAAAAATTCTGAAATTTTAAGTACCACACGAGGAAATACTGGGGTAAAAGGAAAACCCAAGAACAGTATGATCCAGTTGTGATCACTCACACAAGGGTACTCTCTACAAATTTCATTTTTAATAGTGTTGTTAGAAAGTTTGTGGTCCCTTTAAATGGCAGTTTCTATACTTGATCCATTTTATGCCTAAAATGTTTTATATTCAGACAGATAGTGGAGGTTAAGCTGAACTGCCTATGTTGCTGAGTAATATTAATAAGCTTCTCCTCTGGATGGCTAACAACCTAAGTTTGCAGACCAAAAATTAGAGAAAAAGGAGGACTGTGAGGACAGCCAACATTTTGGCCCTAGTCTTTGAAGGTCAGTGAAGACTCAGGACGTAGGAGAACCTGTACTATTACATCATGTAACTCAGTTGTGTCCCAAATTTTCTGATCAAGGAGATTATGGGGCCACGGAGGAAAGTGATCGATGATGTAGAGTGTGCCTAGGGAGAGTCACATGGAGAGAAAACATTCTCTAGGCTTTCACAGAGAGCAAACTGGTCAAGTAATGGCTGTGACCCATCCACAAGGCTGACACAAAGGATCTACAAACTGTGGTACAGGGTTTCAGGATAAATTCTGAGGGGATTTGATTGACCTTATCAGATACAAAAGTTACATTATTCATTATAGAGGTCTTGCTTTAGCTTAGTCTTAACCATCCAGCAGAAAAGTATAAAAACTAAGTATAAAAAGTAAAGCCATATTAATATGCTGAGTTGTAAAAGGCTCAAGTCAACAACTACTTTTTTTTGGGGGGGGAACCAGGGATTGAACTCAGGCCCTTACACTTGCCAGACAAGCGTTTATTCCACTGAGCCATCCCTCTGGCCAAGTCAGCAACTTCTGTCATTGCCAGTCTTAAGGAAAACCCACTATTATTATGGACTACTAGACTATATTGGAATACTTTGCCGAATTCAGGCACCTACAATATTTACATGACAATGGAATATCCTTCTCTGACAAAACTAAACAAAAGAGAGGGATACAAATGAATGACATTTTCTATCTGTATGTTCAAAATAGTTGATACATACACAGCTGCATTCTCTTAGGTCACTGAATAGAGAGATTTGTTCTAATACTGTTTGTGGACAAGATATCATGTCTGCATCCTGTACAATGAATAACCACTAAGAAAACAATATGCAATGTATTAATTATTGAAACTGTGCTATTAAGCGGTTTTGAAACTCACTGCTATTTCTCAATAAAATTATTAGTTTTGCGGGGGGGGGGGACGACTGGGGATTGAACTCAGGCCCTTGCGCTTGCCAGGGAAGCGCTTATTCTACTGAGCCATCTCCCCGGTCCCCAATAATAATAATGATAATTATTATTATCATTATTATTTAAATGTATTTGGTATGGGGTCTCACTACACAGCTTGGTCTCATAGTGATCCTCCTGTTTTCAGCCTTCCCAGTGCTGGCATTACCAGCATGTGGCAATACCCTGGGTTTCAGCACATCCAGGTGTAGGGCCAGGGATCAAACCCCAGTCTCCACGCTTGCACTTGGTGTGCTGATCTATCTAGCCAGCCAAAAATAAATCATTAAACTGTAGTTAATTTAATTTCTTAAGCAGGAAAGTACAGAAAAACTAAAAGCATAAACATAAATGACATTGTATTTGCTTAGGTAAAATCAGATTTTTAAAATTAAAATAGTAATGATTACATAAACTATAAGTCAAAGTAACAGACAGATTGCAACAAAATCATTCAAGTGGAAAATAATCAAATGCTCAAAAGGAACCAGTAGTAAACATAACAACTGTGTAAAAAAAGTTGCTAAGAAGCAGATTGTTATAAAACTCTATAGTCTCCAACTTCTATTTTTAAGTCTTTTACAAAGAAGTTGGAAGGAAAGGGACACAAAGGATCAGGAAGCTGGGGACTAGGCAGAACAGTTTAGCTTCCTCTTTTTCTGCCAAAGATCATCAAAGAGATCACTGTCAACAAGTGCACCATTCCAACAGCTGCATAACAGGTAAAGTATGCACTTGCTGGGATTATGAACACAGCATCAGTGAGAAATTTCAAGTAGCCTTAACTCAATTATAAAAAAGAATCACTAAAAATCACAAATAGGAGAACATCAAAAAGCCAAAATGCTTTGCCCATGTATAAGGTACTACTTTTTTGGGCAGGCCAGATAGCTCAGCTGATGGGCTTGATCCCCCTGGTGTGGCATCCCTGCCCTTGGGCATGCTGAGACAGAGATTGTGAGACTGAGTGTGGTGGCGCACACCTGTAATCCCAGCACTTGGAGGCTGAAAACAGGAGGATCACTACGAGTCTGATTTAAGTAGTGAGACCTTGTAGACCCTATGCCAAATTCATTAAAAAAAAAAAAAAAAAAAACTGGGGCCTGGGAGATGGCTCAGTGGAATAAGCGCTTCCCTGGCAAGCACAAGGGCCTGAGTTCAATCCCCATTCCACCAAAAAAAAAAAAAAAAAAAAAGACAAAATTTGCAAGCATTAATTAGACCTTACTTTAAATATAAAAGGGTAAAGCCACTGCTAAGTTTTAAAAAGCTAAGAAAATTTTCAAGTGTAATCACTTATTTCCTCAGCATAGTACTGTAGCTTACACCATAAAACTAATAAAAATAACAATATTGTTCACTCATGTCCCCTTGCATGCAAAAATGAAGGACCCTTAGATATGGATGTCATACATACCTTGAAGGTGAGGCTGAAAGTAGTGGGAGGAACTGAAGTTAGGCTGGAGTTCTGTTGTATAGTCTCCCTCTTAGGGAGGGGAAGGGTGTTGGGCAAGGGCACCTGAAAAGGCAGGCAACACACATCACAACCTAAGGCTATTAACAAAAGCTCCATGACTGATAGTGCTTAAGTATTTTAAGGGTGGTGCTTTTTTTCATCAGAGCCAACAGGAATATCTGATTACTTAATAGCCTATACTGCTTACAGCAGTTATGATGTTTAAGCTTGTGAAGAGAAACATAAGAGTTTTTCCCAAGAATAAAGTATACAATGGAAGATGGTGCTTTTCCCTTTGTAAACTGCATCTGAATCACCATGGGCTGCTGTTAAAATGTGGGTTCTGACTCAGGTGGCTTGAGCTAAAACCTGAAACTCCAGTATTTCAAATTATTCCCAGGCACTGCTGCTGCTGAGTGGCAAACGGCAAGGCAACTCTCTTTTTTTTTTTTTTGAGTTTGACAAAATGTATTGGTTATTGTAGTAAAGACACTCTTCTCAGTCATTTATTTCTCCTCATCTTGACTTTACATTAGTATTTCATTTGGGTCAAGAAAAGAGTACAACCCCAAAGCAACAAGTGAAACAAACAAAAAAAAGTATGTGACAATTGAAATCTGGACATTGGATGGATATTTTATGCTATTAAAGAATTGTTTATTAAGTAAAAAAAAAAAAAAAAAAAAAAAAAAAAAGAGAAAAAAAGGAGAAGGTTTTTTTTTTTTTTTCTTTTTGGCAGAACTGGGGATTGAACTCAGGTCCTTGTGCTTGCCAGGGAAGTGTTTATTCTACTGAGCCATCTCCCCGGCCCCAAGGATGTTATTTTAATAAACAGTAAAATGGACAAAAATGAGTTAAGTTTGCTTACATAAAAGTTAAGTTAAATTCATGTATCTTGATGTACTCAAATCGTGTAAAAACTAGTAGTTCTATATACATTTCCATTGTTTTACTTGGGGCTTAATCTAAGAACATCAGGCATATGCATAGGTTTCTTCTCTGGAGTTACTACCTATTAAAAAAGATCAGGGGGGCCTGGCCCTAGCTCAGTCCTTTAAGTGGCTGCTTCCACAAAGCTGTCAGCCTCAGGTTGCTGGAGTTCGAACCTCACAACTCTCCCGCTGGCCAAAAGTGCCCTGAAGGCATTCGAGGAACAAAAAAAAAACAAAAAAGATCAGCAAGTAACTACCACCAATAAAATAGTCTGAAGCTGCCTCCAAATTTAACATTGTAGGAGTTCTGAAGGAAATAATTGTATCATTTAAGGCAACTCTCTAAGGAACACAACTTCACCACATAAGGAGCCAAAGGTTCTATGAAAATTATTAACATGACAGTAAAAAGGAAGTGCTGTCTGGAGCTGTATTACCCAGCAAACGTTTTGCTAGGTAGGGGAGTATCCTGACCATGCCAAACACTGCTAGAAACCCGAAGATACGAGAAGCTGCCTCTATCTTCTTCCACTTTTCTGGATCTTGGGATCTTGTTACATACCACTGCTACGTATTTTTCAAATACTTTGTGATATTAGGAACTATCTAATGGAGATCTGTTATAGCATTTGTTAATGAGTCTTCTGACATTCAAAAAATTAATGATTTTAAGTATCAGTTAACTGAGTTAAAAAAAAACTGTATTAAGCCTTAATAAGCCTAAAATATCCTATAAAAAGACAGAAGTGGAAGCCCTATACAGATTAATAAAAACAAAAAACATTTTCAAAAGGTCCCCCAAAATTTCCCTATGTAAGATATTAGCTCATTAAACTCAGACTCACTGCATACTTACTTGGCACAAGTAAGCAGTACTGTTAAATCATTCCCAACTGATGACCATCTATACTGTTCCCTGACTCAAACTAGTATTCTATTTTAATCAGATGCAGACTATTCACCTATACAGGAGACTCCAGTAGTTACCAATGTACAAGCCACCACACTAGTCTTAAAGATCACAAAAAATATTAAAATGCTCATCTAAATGCCCACCCCTCCTTTTCTTGCTTTCTGTGACATGGTCTTGCTATGTAGTTCTTTAACTAAATAGTCCAGGCTGTACACAAACTTGCAGTGATCCACCTATCTAAGCCGCCCCAGTGCCACCATGTCTAGGTTCCCCTGAATATTTTCAATGACAATACTTCTAATAAGTTTTCAGTAGACTGGCAGAGGGTGCTGCATGCATTCTTGAAAAAGCTGTCACAAAAGTATCCTATTTTTTATTTGTGTGTGTGTGTGTGTGTGTGTGTGTGTGTGTGTGTGTGTGTGGCCAGCTCAGCCCACCAGGGGGCGGGGCTGGCTGGCATGTGGTGCTGGGGGATTGAACCGCGGTCCCTGTATCAAGTAGGTGCTTTAGACCACTGAGCCATCTCACCAGCCCCATATCCTATTTTTTTTAATGAGAAAAGAGACTACTATTGAAGTATAACTAATCTTTGAGACTTCACTGGTTCAATATTTGACAATAACTAGATAGTGACATCAGAATTAAACTGAAGGAAAATTGATTCTCTCCCAGTTTTCCATTACTTGAGAAGTTTGCAAAAATATTTAAACCAATCTCAAGAGAGCTGGTATGGGGGAAGAGTTTAGCACATGAAGTTTTAAAACATCTGAAAATTGGGCAAATAATTATTAATCACACTCTACAAAGGTCTGATCACCATGAAAAAATATGCACTTCAATCCTTTCAGTTCTTCAGCTGTATTTCACTTGAACTACAAAAGGTGGATTAAGTGACCCCTAATGTAGCTCACCTTTCTAAAACTGCATATACGGGATGCTAGAGGGAACAACAGACAGCATGGGAGAAAAAAAGACAAAAATCAAAATTTCACCTTCAAAATATTAAAGCCCTTTTGAGAAATATTCATCTCTGCAAAATACTTTTGAAAAGAATAATCAACATTTTAGTCTCATAGCCTTTGATTATAGGGAGCTATATTTTAAAAGAAAGCAAGTCATCACATTTCTACTGTATCTGCCTCCTGAACAAAGGACATATGAGTAACTTTTAGAATGATTGTCCAAAGTACAACATATGACCACAGCAAGTTACCTAACATTTTAAAATTTACAACTGTCTTTCAGTGATACACGCAAAATGCTGTATCACTAACTTTTAATACAATCTTTGATTATAACTTGGCTGTGCTGGCAAACTAGGGCTTAATTTATAGCATGACAACATCACCTAGGGATATAGCATTGAGGAACTAAAGTACTTCACACATATATTCTAGCTTAATTTACATACACAAATTGGTGACAGTGCACATGTGCCTGTGTGTATACACAGGAACACATAATACCTGCCAGTACTGGGGAGGAACACAGGGGCAAGAATCACACACCTGACCACTTATAAAGAATTTATTTTTACACAAGGTCTTAAATTGCCCAGGCTGGCTTCAAACTTATGATCCTCTTGGTTCAGCCTCCTGAGTATGCTGATACGTCCCACCATGCCAGCTACATATTTTTTAATTAAAAAAACTGCTTTCTTGGAAGCATTATAGTTGTCTTTTGATTCTAATAACCTTAAATGAATAAGGTTTCACTGCATTATAAATGGGTGTCACTTGTTAACAAAATCAAATAAAATGAATTTATAACAATTTATAACATAGTAAACATGAAAATTCTTACTAAAATGAAATTAAATGTTAGTACTCATAAAAAAATCAAGCCTAGATACCACAAGCCTTTCATCCTAAATGGAAAGCTGGTGACTGTCAGAGAAAGTAAAATGGCTAATGGTAACGACCTACAGTGCTCTTAAATGTACTATCTACTATTTCCTTGGTAAGATCTGAATGTTGGTCACTACAGTAAGAATAATGATGTAGCAGAGAACAACAGCCAGGTTTCCATCCAAATCTTCCAAACCACAGGTTGATTACTTACATTATTAACCAAAGTATCCTCCATCTTTGCATTATTAGTAGCCACAGTGTTAGGAAGAGAAGAAGAAGGTGTAGTATAGTCTGTTACAGACTCCTGTGGAAGAGTAACATGGAAAAAAAGTCTTAAAATGAATTAATAACTCACTTTCTAAGGATCGCCTATTAGTTGTAAAGTTGTTTTGGAGGAAAAAGGAGAAGGTGCACATTACATTCATCTCACTTAAATCTTCCATAGAATAACAGTAGCATACTATTAAATGCCCCCCCACAAAAAATTTCAACTGTTAGTGAACTCCTACACATATTTAAAAATATACTACACAGTACTTGCAGCTGCCAATAGCATCAAACTATTTTTGATTATTAAAATATTTTTTTAATGTGTTTCCCACACTGCTTAGCTACTGATTACTGATTTTTGGTTTCTCTTTAATAAAATGTAGATAAACAAATCAGTTGTTAAAGTAAGATTTTAGGATATACTCTGTTTACTTTCATCAAACTCTTTTCTTTTTTAAACTCTTCTTTAGAGTGGAAATAAAAAAACAAATAAATAAATAGATACAGTGGAAATGGACCACTTGAATTTTTACTTACATCAATTCAATTGTACAGCAACTTTAAAAAGAGAACAATATTCAAATAATATAAAAGATAAAGCTGGGCGTGACTGTACACAGCTATAATCCTTGCACACAGGGAGGCTGGGGCAGGGAAGACTGTCTCAAGCTGGAAGCCAGCCTGAATTGCACTGCAAAGCCCCTCCCTGCCAGGGAAAGAAAAGATTAAATCCACCTTCCTCTTTAGTGAATACACTGTATGTCCTGAAGTGAAGATGGCAGGTATCAATTTGTTGTTATCGTAGTCATTCTACATAACGTGGCTTAATGAATACAGTCACCCTCCTGGTGTTTGCAGGGGACTGGTTACAGGAGTCTCTAAACACCCGAGTCTGTGAGCGCAAGTTTAGTATATAGCATGATGTGCTATTTGCCTAAAACATAGTGGATCCTGCAGCATACCTTAAATTGTTTTAGATTACATACAATACTTAATACAAGGTAAATGCTATGTAAATAGTTAAACTGTATTGTTAAGGGAATAATGATGCAATACTGTTTTATCCGTGATTGGGTGAAGCCATAGATGCTTACCCTAGATACAGATGGCTGATCGTAATTTTTAAAGCATCACTCACTGAGGTCCCTACGTGCAAATTCAACATTTTCCAGGGCTCTACCAAAAAACCAGTGACCTGCTCCAATAATGAAAGAAACTGGCTCTATTGGGCTTACTAAAAAAGTTGGGCCCATTTCTGAAATTTAGAATTCTACCAGTAGGCAAGCTAAACCGCTACAACTCTACTAGCAAAATAGAAGTAACAAAGTATTACAAACTTAAAAAAAAAAAAAAAAAATTCTGAGTTTGTCACTGTAATCTACTCAAATCATCCAGAATTAAGAGTAAACTTAAAAAACAAACAAACAAAAAAAACCAACCAAAGCAATAAAATTCATTGTAACGAACTTCTTTATATCATGCAGGTACACCGTGAATAAAGCCTTCTCTGTAGAAGTAATAATTCATATAGAAGAAAATCCCTGGTGGAAGGAGGGGGACTCCAAACTCCGAGTTGTCATTTTATCATTTATTTAAGCCAAGGTCCATGCATCAAATGAGTAACTTACTTTATTTATTTAGGCGGAACCAGGGATGGAACTCAGTCCCTTGTGCTTGCCAGGGAAGCACTTATTCTACTGAGCCATGAAATGGTGACTACTGCATGCCTACCTTTGTATTTTTTTTAAATTTTTATTTATTTATTTATATTTTTGTGTGTGTGGCCAGCTCAGCCCACCAGGGGGTGGGGCTGGCTGGCATGTGGTGCTGGGGGATTGAACCGCGGTCCCTGTGCTTTGCTAAGCTTGTTCTAAGTAGGTGCTTTAGACCACTGAGCCATCTCACCAGCCCCATGCATGCCTACCTTTGCATCAGTGGCAAATTCTGCAGAAGATACGGAGATCATCGGTCCAATTTCTGCAGCCATTTCTGAAACTGCTTTGGTTTCCTTTGCTGCGACAGAATCTGTGCTTCTGCCTGTAGCGGATGCAGGCTTCTCTTGCCCTTCTGGCTCCACCACTTGGGCATCTTTCACTTTTCTATTTTTTAATGAACGCTCCTTTCCAATGGGACCAGGTTTATGTTCTTTGTTTTCTACTGGACTCAATTCTGGAAGCTAAAGTCAATGTTTGACAAAATAGATCACAATAAAAGACATTAACAGAAAAATTAAATTTCATTTTAAAACTACTCCCCTTCAGAGTTAGTAGCATTCCCTAATTAAAAAAAAAAAAAAATCACCCCTCAATTATAAATCATATAGTTACCTTCTGGGCTTTGATAGGTCCTGCTCGTGGCTGTTTCTGCCGCTGTTCTTTAGGTTCGGATATTTTGTCAGCAGATTTTTCTGAGAGCACAGGAACTACTTCATTTTCACTGCCATTTGAAGCTGGAGCACCAAACTGAATGGTGTCAATTCCAATTTCAACACCACTCTCTTGACCATTCTTTGTTCCCTGGTTAAAGAAAACATAATTTTAAAACTTGCTATTAAACCAGACAAGGTTCACATTTAATGGAATGATTCACATTTTACAAATAAGAGGCTTGTTACTAAAAACTAAAAAACATGAAGGATAACATCTAACTTAAATTCCAGGACTCTGAAAGTTTGAGGAGAAATTTTAAAAAGTGGTTTTAAAAAAAGGAGATACAAAAAAAAAAAAAAAAAAAGAAAAAAGAGATACATTACAAATACATATTCTACAGGACTACTAGAAATCATTACAGACTTCATTTTTTTGAGTAAGCTATATTGCAAAAATTGAATTTTCTATAGTAGGAGTAATTTGTTTTGAGTGAACTTAGATACTATTATGGTTTCACTTATTAGTTTATAAATTTTTATTTAATTATCTTAATGTAAATTATGGTTACTCTTCTGAAAGGATAAATTCAAAGCTATTAAAGTCATTTTTTATTAACATGCATTAATTGTAAAAATGGGTTTCACACTAATGACATTTCTACACATGCATGTATTACATACTGATCATGTCCACCTCCCTTCTATTTTTGCTTCGTTACCTGTCCCTTGCCTTGGAAGCTCTCCCAGGCCCTAACAGTCCCTCTTCTACTTTCAGATCTCCACTTTTACAAGGAGATTTAAAGAAACTGATGTATCAATTGAGATTAACTGACATTGTCATAACTTTTTTTTTTTTTTTGGCAGAACCGGGGATTGAATTCAGGCCCTTGTACTTGCCAGGGAAGCGCTTATTCCACTGAGCCATCTCCCCGGCTGTCATTACATTTTTTATTTATTTATTTATTTATTTATTTATTTATTTAGTGTGGCCAGCTCAGCCCACCAGGGGGCGGGGCTGGCTGGCATGTGGTGCTGGGGATTGAACCGCGGTCCCTGTGCTTTTGTTTAGCTAAGCTTGTTCTAAGCAGGTGCTTTAGACCACTGAGCCATCTCACCAGCCCTGACATTACATTTTAAGGGCACTTTCCTGTAATCACTCTTGAACGGATAAACTAGACAATATTTCAGCTTAAAAGTTATCAAAATCTTGGGGCTGGCGAGATGGCTCAGTGGTCTAAAGCACCTACTTAGAACAAGCTTAGCAAAGCAGAGGGACCGCGGTTCAATCCCCCAGCACCACATGTCAGCCAGCCCTGCCCCCTGGTGGGCTGAGCTGGTCACACACACACACACACACACACACACACACACACACAAATAAATAAAATTAAAAAAAAAAATCCTGGCTCTTATACATGTTATTTACAGGCAAATCACAGTCTCAAGTTGTTTCATCATATAAAACAAATCTAAAAGCAACAAAGAAAGACAAAGTGAATTCACAGTGATTTACTGGGCACAACCTTTGTACTAGGCAATCTAACCTGTATTCTAGAGTAGGAGGGGAGAAAGGAAGGAGAGAGATAAGTGGAAAAGGGGTAGGAAGAAAAAAGAAAAAAAACGCAATAGAGAAGTCAGATAAGGGACATATAAAATAAAATGGGGTTAGGAGATTAGCTACTTTAGAAAAGTATAACTTTTTTTTTTTTTTAAATGTATTTAGTACAGGTTCTACAGGGTCTCATTACACAGCTCGGACTCGTAGTGAGCCTCCTGTTTTCAGCCTCCCAAGCTCTGGGATTACAGGTGCATGCCCAGCACGGTAAGCCAGGGATCAAACCTCCCAGCCCCAGTGTCTGCCTTAAGCAGGCGCTTTAGTCCTCTGAGCTACTTGGCCAGCTCAAGAACAACAGTCTTGAGAACACAGTGAATCCAAAAGACAAAGACTGGTGAAAATTTCCAGGAAAGTCAAATACTTTACTTAGTATAAAGAGTAAGAATGACCAACAAGACTGAAGCTATCAGTAGAAGATGGACAAGAGGAGCCCAAAAGATAAAACTCTAGTAACTTAATTCTTTGATGGAAAAGCTGGCCACAAAGCATATCCAGGGACAAATAGGAGCTACAACTTTGATCTAAAAATGGAATTACTAATGCATATTATATTTGGCATTGTCAAATTAATTACACTAGTCTGGTTAACTATACTGTCTATTAAGGTAAACATTTCACGGTAACAATGTCATTTTATGAAAATATAGGCAAACATACATAAGGTAAACTAGAATAAAAATCTCTTCAGTTTAAATTCTGTCAGTTAAGTATAAATGCAGCATTGAAAGAGCAAAAAAAAAAAATAAATAAAAAAAATAAAAAAAACTTATGCAGTGATGAATAAGAAAGTAGGTTAACAGTTAATCACTATTAAGGAATGTTAGTTTTAAAAGGGATAGAGAACTAGCTCAGTGGCATAAGTACCTGCCAAGCAAGTTCAATCTAGGTACTGGAAAAAAAAAAGGAATCCTAAGTATTTAGAGCTGATGAGATAGCTCAGCGGGGACCGTGGATGGATCCAATGGCTCACTGGCCTTGTGCCTGGGTGCGCTGAGCTGGCCACAGGGACTGGCTGTGGTGGCACATGCCTGCAATCTCAGCACTGGGGAGGCTGAAAAAACAGGCGAACCACTACGAGTTGGAACTGCATAGTAAGACTTTGCACCAAATAAATTAAAAAGAAAAAGAATGTTAATTTTAAGACTATCTTTTAAAAAATATATATAAAAGCTTAATAACTGATTCACTAGTCATTCAAGAAAAAAGTTCTCACTTCTGAGAATCTTCATCTTGTGAAACATTTCAATTTTGCTAACTTAAAATTTCATCCTGGTAGAAGAAAAAAACATTCACAAAGACATTTCTATCCCGAAAACATCATGAATATAAACAAGAAAGTGTAAGAAAAAAACCGAGACACCATCAAAACATCTATGTTCTACCATTAACTGAAGCTGAGGACATTGTAAACACCCTTTTCTCAGAGAGCTAAGAAACAGTTAAATAAGGATCTGAAACTTTCTATACTGCTCTTTATATTGACATAAAACATATTCAACTTTGCCTATAATAAATGGTTTTATGATTAATCATAAAGCAAATACAGGCAGAACAACAATTATTATTACTATTATTTTTTTGGTCAGAACCGGGGATTGAACTCAGGCCCTTGCACTTGCCAGGCAAGTGCTTATTCTAGTGAGCTATTTCCCTGGCCCCCAGAACAACAATTATTAAAGACACTTTGACAATCAAAACAAATGAGATTTGCTCCAGGCCTATTATGTAGAAAACTTGAGTAGCATGTGAGGGTAGTGTAGACATTACAGGGGAAAAAAAGAAGAAAAAAAAAAAAGAACTAAAACCCAAACTGACACAAACTTCTCAACTTCACGCACTGTCCCATTTCTCTGCAGCCCTTTGCAGTATGAACTATAGCCCCGTATCGCTTAATAACCGGATACAAGGGCCAGCCAAATAGCTCAGTGGATGAGGCCAGGGGTTCAAACCCAGGCCTGCTGTGCTGGCCAAGCCCCAGGGGCATTATGAGAGGCAATTGAGACTGGGCGTGGTGGCATGGCCTGTAATCCCAGCTATTGGGAGGCTGTAAATAGGCAGATCACTAGGAGTCCGATCTAGTAGTGAGACCCTGGGCACCCTGTAGAGCCTTCCCTAAATAAAATAATAATAATAATAATAATTAATACATTCTGACATGCCCCATAGGGTAACTTTTTTTTTTTTTTTTTTTTTGGGTGCAAAAATCACAAAGTGTTTACATAAAACTCCAATAGTGCCATTAGGTGATATAATCTCATGGGTCCACTATGGCATCTATGGTTCATCCGTGGTATTTTGAACAAAATATTATGTCCTGAAATTAAGACTGTTCAGAAATTGTTCATACTCATTTTTCCTTCATCTTTTTAAAAATTTTCCCCATAATTTTATTGATAAACAAATAGCAATGAGACAGTTTCAAATCAAATTGGTAGGACAATTCATCTTTTAATTAAATCCATCCCAACCTGCCTTTTATATACCTTTTTTTCTAGTTTTGTGTAAGTTACCAGTGACATCCATATTGTCAATGTTGTCACTTCAGTGCCTGTATCACCTGACCTGCCACCAGCAGCATTTGACAAATTTAATCTATCTTTTTTTTCTTTAATATTGTGAGATAATGTCTGGCTAAGTGTTGAGGCTGGCTGAAAGTGGCCTCCAACTTGCTGAGAGCCTCCTGTTCCAGCCGCTATGGTATGGGGATTACAACGGGCATACACCACAGTGTCTGGCTGCTTCTTTAAATTCCTTTTTACTTGGTGTTTAGGGTACTTCTCCCTCTCTACCATTTCCCAAACTAGAAAGCCCGGTACTTAGCGATCCACTTCCTTTTCACATTGCACTTTAACTTCTTAGTGATCTCATACAATCTCACTGCTTTAAATACCACCTGCAGGCGCTGTTCCAAACTAAATTTATGGGCTTAATAGAATAAGCACTGGGGAGATGGCTTAATAGAATAAGCACTTGCCTGGCAAGTGCAGGGTCCTGAGTGCAATCCCCTGTACCGCAAAAAAACCAAAAAAAAAAAAAAAAAAACCAAAAAAACAAAAATCAACTTAACCAAAAAATTATTACCATAAAATATACACTGACATTTTTACTATATGTGAACTGAGCACTGCTCAAATATTTTAAAATTTCAAAATATTTTTTAGTTTATGAAACAAAAAAAAATTTAACTAAGCTATCACAGAGTATAAGACACCAAAACACTTCCTTTCACTTCTATGCCTCTATACCATAGCTCTTGTCATTTTTTCGAACAGCTCTGCAAGTCCTCTTTCTACTTATCTTCACAAGGTGGGATTAAAAATACGGTCAATACAGCAGGAAGGAAGCCCACTGGAACCAGCCCGTGGGGCTTTTGGCTCTTCCACCAAGTGGAAACGACCATGAGAGGCACACATTTGCTTCAGGACACAAAGCAACAGAAGATGACTTTCAGAGCTACTTCAGAAGGCCGTGGAGACAGCTCAACAGACTAAGTGCCTGCCCTGGCAAGGGCAGGGACCACGATTCCATCCCGGACCTACAGGCCAGGCAGCCTCCCCCCCGAGCCCCGCCCCTGGGGTGTGCTGAGCCCATGAAGGAGTCTGGGCCTGGTGGCCTACACCTGTAATCCCAGCACTGGGGAGGCTGAAACAGGAGGATCACTGAGTCTGACTGCATAGTGAGACCCTGTACCAAATAAAGGAAAAAAAAAAAAAAAAAAAAAAAAGAACTGCTTCAGAAAGTGGCAAGAATGAGGACAAAAAGCCAAGGGGAAATAACTAGAGGGGAATAATTAACATTATGTCTTTTACTATAATTTTTAAAAAAGTTTAAAATACTTAGCACATACACACTAATAACTCTCCATATCTATAAGATGATCACTTCTGAACTGCAGACTCATATGCAACTGCCTGACCTTTTCACTTAGATGTTTAATGAGTATTTTAACTCTAACTCGTCTCAAAAACTCTTACCCCCCAAATCCTGATCCACTGTAGCTTCAACTTGATAGGCATTTTACCTTTTCTGCTGCTCATGCCAAAAAATTAAGATGGATCCTCCCCTTTTTTGTATTTTAGTAAGGGTCTACAGGGTCTCACTATGTAGATTGGACTTGTACTGATCCACCTGTGTTCAGCTTCCCAAGAGCTGGGATTACAGGCGCGCGCCACCACGCCCAGACTCCTTCACGGGCTCAGCACACCCCAGGGATGGGGCAGCGCACAGAGCAGGGATCGAACCTCTGACCCCTGGGTCTGCCTAAGCAGGCACTTTAATCTGTTGAACTGTTTGGCCGGCTTTTTTTTTAATAGCACGTATTTAATTAGTTTAATAATACCCAGAAACCAGTATGATCTTTAACGCCATCTCCCTGGTATAAATTATGGTAATCCAATTAAATGTAATAGCACTAACCTCTAGTCTTGCTTTCTCATTCTCACCAGAATAAACTTTAAAGTCATTCCTTTGTTCTAAGTGCACCAGGGGTTTCCTCTCACCTACAATTCCACTATGAGCCACTTCCCGTTAATTCCCCACCCTTATCCATTCTTTCTCCATCTCTTAGGAGTCCTCAGTCTAGTCATATGTCAGTCACTGAGACCGTGAAATTCCACAACACCAGACATATTCCCATCGCATATCTTTTTATTTTTACTTTTTAATTTAGTATAGGGTCTACAGGATCTACAGGGTCTTACTACACAGAGCAGACTCCAAGTGATCCTCCTGCTTTCAGCCTCCCTCGTGCTGGGAGTACAGGCACACATCACCACACCCAGTCTCAACTGCTGTCTCAGAGCTTGCAGGACAAGCAGGGGACTGACGCCTGGCCTTGTGTCTGCCTAATTAGGTACTTTAGTCCACTGAGCTATCTGGCTGTCCCTAGCTCATGTCTTTTATAATTGCTATTCGCAGAACCTGGAAACTATCTTACTCAGACATCTGTATCGCCTACTTTCTCAGCTTCTTCAAATCTTTAATTCAAATGTCACCTAAGTAGGATTTCCTCGTCAGTGTACTTCAAATTATCTTGATATGCCTTTCAAAATTTCTTGTGTGGGCTGGAGAGATGGCTCAGTGGTCTAAAGCACCTACTTAGAACAAGCTTAGCAAAGCACAGGGACCGCGGTTCAATCCCCCAGCACCACATGCCAGCCAGCCCCGCTCCCTGTTGGGCTGAGCTGGCCAAACACACACACACACACACACACACACACACACACACACACACACAAAATTAAATAAATAAATAAAATTAAAAAAAAAAAAAATTTCTTGTGTACTTCTCTGTGTTGTTTTCTCCTTAGCGCTGATCACCACCTAACATACTGTTACTTGTTATTCACTTTACGATAACATGGCTTTTGTGGTCTGTTTTTATTTAATTTTTTGAACTCAGGCCCTTGCGCTTGCCAGACAAGCACTTATTCTACTGAGCCATCTCCCCGGCCCCAATGTGGTCTGTTTCTAGCTGGTTTTCTAAGCTTACAAGTTACACAGTGCCTGGTACATGACAAATATTTGATAAATGTTCACACAACAAATGAATAAAACATTTAAAAAAGTCATTTATTAATATTCACATATTTGAGAAATTGATGAAATAGTTATAAAGGATTTGTAAGCATTCAAGGTAGAAACAGTAGGAAGGTAGAGAAAGTAGTAACTGTTTATGTTCTGTATCACAAACTTTTTCTTCTTTTTTTTTTTTTTTTTTTTTTTGCGGAACCGGGGATTGAACTCAGGTCCTTGCGCTTGCCAGGGAAGCGCTTATTCCACTGAGCCATCTCCTTGGCCCTTTTTTTTTTTTTTTTTTTTTTTACAAACTTTTTTCTTAAGGCTAAAAGACACTGAAGTCCAAACATGAGAAGAGCTTGTAAATGTAGAAGTTTAGCAGGCTTAGTAGTATTAGTATCATTAGGGAACTTAGAAACATACTCAGGTCTCAGCCCAAAACAATGAGTAAGAAGAATCTTAGAAATCTGTATCAGTAGTTCTCTAGGTGATTCTGGAGTATGTTAAATTTTGAGAAATTGTTTAAAAAAAAAAAAAAAAAAAAAAGTCTATCCCTACCTCTGATGAAGTAGCCGATCCAAACGAAGTTAAGGGTTTATTCCATGCACTCACCGAAGGTGGCTGAGGTGGACTAATGGGACCTACTAAAAAGAAGTCATAAAAACCATGACCCTCAACATTTAGGCTTTAATACTTTGCCCATTTAACCCTTTCTTACAATAATAACATGACAATAAAACAATGACTTCATAAGACCTGTTATATTAGCTTATCAATAAAACTGTGCCCATAAAATACAAAAGTTGTTAAACGTGCTTACTTTAGAAACAAGTGTTTTTTTTTTTTTTTTTTGAAACAAGTATTTTAAGAAAGAACGCTAAGAATTACTTTTATAATAGTAAGACAAAACTGCTGTACCACTTACGTTTCTTAGAGATGTCATTTAGTACAGCTGGTGGGGCCACCTTGTTATCCCATAATTCAGCAGTCAGACTGCCATGTGCTTGTGGAGTCTGGATGGATTTTCCTGTGGCTACGTAATCTGTGCCATTAGGTGTCTGAGCTGAAGGCAGTCTAATGGAAGGTGGTGGCTGTTTTGAAGCCTGTGAAGCTTGCAGAGGGTTCTGAGCTGGTTTGTGGGTCTGGGCCTGAGTCTGTGCTGGAGCAATGGGGGTGGGGGCAGGCGCGGGGGTGGGGGCTGAAGCAAGTGGGACTGAGGCTGCTGAACTCAAGGCTGAGGAGGCAGGGGGCGAGGTAGCTGGCACAGTTGGGGAGGAGACTGCTGTGGCTGGAGGTGGAGCTGAAGCTGGTGCTAAGGCTGAAGCAAGGACAGGAATCGAGGCTGGGGCAAGAATGGGGACAGATGCAGGGGTTGAAGCAGAGGCAAGAAGAGGGGTTGGAGCTGGGGTGGAGGCTGGAGCTGAAGAGGAGGCTATGGCTGGAGCTGAGGAGGAGGACACTGGGGCTGAGGTGGAAGCTGGAGCTGGAACTGAGGTGGCCGGCAACACTGGAGCATGGGCTGGAGCTGAGACTAGCACTGCAGGTGATGTCACAACCACAGCTGCCACCGAGGCTGTAACTGGAGCTGCAGGTGGTATAAGAACCGCAGCTGAGGCTGAAGACAAAGCTGGAGCTGAAGCCAGAGCTGAGACTGGAGCCTGGGCTGGCTGTGTCCCTGTGGCCTGCTTCTTGGCAAACCTGGGAGGAAGCTTGGAAGTCTGACTTCTTACTTTCTCATTTGCATTTTTTTTGTTCCAGACCTTAAATAGAGGAAATCATTTTTGTCAATAATATATCTGAAAGCAATAGTTTATGCAAGCAAACAAAACTAGCTATTTCTTTTACTCTTGCAAATACGTATTTATAAGCAGAAATGTTAAAATTTGCTATGAACTAAAAGCCAAGAGAGGGGGCTGGGGAGATGGCTCAGTGGAATAAGTGCTTCCCTGGCAAGTGCAAGGGCCTGAGTTCAATCCCTTGTTCCGCCAAAAATAAATAAATAAATAAAAATAAAAGCCAAGAGAAAACCTGACAAGTATGTATTACATATTTTTGATATGCAGGTCCATAATCTCTTTCCAACATTCCAAAATAAAAAAAACAAAAAACAAAACACAACTACAGGAGTCTGCAGTTCTACTTGATAGCAAAACCTGACATAAGCTAATAAAAAGCTTACTAGTTTCAAATCAACTTACATATGCCATAAAAACACAGATTCTGGGAGTGTAGCCAACCAAAGAGGGTATATGCACTGCTATTTTAACTAACAACTCAATAAACTACCTCTGAAACTATCTGGTTCCAGGGGAATGGGTTCAACTGAAACTCAAGTTATTTTCTACTAAACTAATTTAAATAATAATAGGAATATTTTTAGGACAAAAACTTATAATCTACTGGATCATGACACTGTATTTACTGGATTTCCAAGATTTTTTTTGTTTTGTTCTTTTGAGGCAGGGTCTCACTATATAGTTCACACTGGCTTCAAACTTGCTGTGATCTGCCTCCCAAGTGCTGGGATTACAGGTGTGCTTCACTATGCCTAGCTTTCAAGATAATTTAAAATTAACTCTCCATGGGGCAAATAACATGACCAGAACTACACATAACTGTATCAATGGATTAAAGTAAAGATGGTCTGCTCTAGGACAAATGGCAAGCTACAATAATTGTACTTCATTTAAAATTTATTTAAGTTCTGGTCAAAATAGTTGAAAGCTCTGAAGATGGAACAATTTTCAGCACTTGCAAAAAAGACTTGATTTTGCAAGTAGATGAAAACCATCATTTGCTAACACAATATGGACATTTTTAATTATTGACAAACTGAAACATGCTTTAAACCTGTATGACTTGTTCTTCCTTCTTCCGGCGTTCCTCATCCTGTAAACGTTTTTGCTGTTTTTTAGATACCACTTCAGTAAAACCATCATCATTCAAATTTGACTGGGGGTCTTCAACTACTGTTACTTCAGGGTGATCATCGATTATAACAACACCTGCAAGTGTTAAGACATGACTTCAGTATCTTGTTTTAAATTAATGGCTAGAAATGTAGTGTATTTAGCAAAAAAAAAAAAAAAGAGAAATGTCAGAGGTGTAGTTTATATAATTTACAGTACAATCCAGTGGTTGTAAACCTGAGACCTGTGTGCCATAGAGGGCTGTATCAATGCAAGTTCTGAAAGGCTTGCCATCAGTGGTAATAAATTATTTCACATGCTATAAGATAGCCATACATTATTAAGATTTGAAAAGATTTCAAAGGTTAATGAAAAAATTTCATGAAGTTAATGATAGTGCCAAAGCTCTGTAGTATATGTATTTTTCCTTATAAAATTAACCTCTGTATTTGCATCTACCTTAGATTTTGATCTCCTACATAGTGTACTAAAAAAAATTACCTTAACTCATTTGCAACTATTCTAAGAAGTGGGTACTACTACTTTTTTCTATTTCAAAGGATAAAATAAGCTTTCATCTGATTTATTAAAGGCAAGGTGCCAAGTTTAGCTCAATTTAACACTAGTTAAGGGTCAGGAAGATAGCTCAGTTGAATAAGCACTTGCCTGGCAAGCACAAGGGCCTGAAGTTCAATCCTTAGCTCCACAAAAATGTACCAAAAAAAAAAAAATTACCACTAGTAATGGATCCATTTTTCACAGACCTCTTTCTACAAGGTGTCCTGGTTAAAATACGAGATTAAAGAGATAGTTCTTTATAAATGCAATGTGGCATGGCATGAGTGTATGAACATCAAAATCATCTAGCTGAATTTTATTTTAAATTATCTCTGTCTTCCACTCATTAGATGTCAGTTGCAGCCCATGGCAGCTGTGATAATTAAAAATGTTTCCAGAGATTGTCAAATAGGCCCTAGGGTGCAAAATCACTCATGCTGAGAATCACTGTTTTAAAACCAAATTAAAAACTCTTTTTTTTTTTTCTTTGGTGGTACCAGGGATTGAACTCAGGACCTTGCACTTGCCAGGCAGGCACTTATTCTACTGAGCTATCTATCTCCCTAGCCCCAAAAATTCTTAAACATGTGATTAAAATCAGTATTCTTTTTATTCTATATGAATTGAAAGTGGTACTATAGAATGGTAGTTCTCAAACTACCATACCATATGGTGGATTGGGATCACATGGACGACTTACGAAAAACAGACACTGCTATGACCCACTCTCATAGTTTCTGATTCAGTAGGTTTGGGGTAGACAAGAATTTGCATTTCCCATAAAATTCCAGGAGACAATAAGGTTCTGGGGACCACGCTCTAAGATACACTGGTCAAATAGTGTCTAAGACCTGGGCCCACATCAGAATTTAGTATGTATACATGACCATTAATTAGATTACCCAGTGTTTTCAGCTGCAGTTTTATCTGAACAACTGGCAATAGGGGGCCTGCCCATTAGCTCAGCTGTTTAAGTGCCTCCTGAAACAAAGCAGTCAGGCTCAGGATGCTGTGGTTCAATCCCCTCATCCTCAAGCCAAAGCAGACCTGCCCTGAAGGCATCCTGAGCGCCCCCCCCCCAAAAAAAAATCCTTCTGAATGAATGGCAAATACTGTACTTTTACATATATAAGTATCTTCTTATAGATATTCCTTCATTGTTAATTTCCTTATCCAGGATTTTCTTATTACTTATGTTACCTTTAGCCTAATTATTTCCTGGTTTACTAATTGTCCATGCTAACAACTATCCTTTAACTTTCTATTCACTATTATCTTAGGAACCAATCTTATCAAATTTATTATCTTAGTAAGTTGAGTATTTCCTATTAAAAACATCAAGCTGTATGTACAGATATAATTGTCACTGCTTAAGTTTTCTATGCTTTCTTATATCTATATGGTGAGGTAGGATGGGTTAAGCAATTTTCTTTTTTAGAAAGGCCACTGAAACTGAGTTCACTATTTTTAACAAATTTTCTTAAGGATTCAGGGCTATGCTAAAAAGTTGGTATTATTTTAGTTTAAATTAAATCAGTGTTTTGTCAACCCCTATCACTACCATAAAAGTCTAATTCTTTGATGTCTTAAAACATCCACTTAGATGTAACAGATAAATAAAATGAAAGGAACCTATGACGTACTTGCATAATTGTTAAGATCAAACTGTGAGAGAGCATCTACTTTCTCTTTGGGTTTTTTAGGACCTGGTTTGGTGTCTTCTCTCTTTTTCCCAGTAGAATCCTTGGAATTCTTTGGTCCTGTACCATTAGATGTTACTTCCTGGTGGTGTGCAGAGCCGCCATTGACAGGGTCAACATTAGCTGTGCCTGCAGACTGGTCATCAAATGGTCTAGAAAAAATAATTTGGAAGATTACTATCTTAGTATGCCCAAACAAAAACACCCACACTGGCAATTTCTAATAGGAATAGGAGAAGAAACTCTTAAGTTTCCTACTAACATGAACTTTCTAACTCAGAGCTTCCCAATAAAGTAGGACTGGATTTTTCCCAGCAATTAAATTTTGGAATTCTAATTATCCTAGAAGGTTTTTATCTTCACTTGTCAATCATACTATAAATGAGCTACTTAGCATTTTTTACAGTAGAAATTTTCTATAATCCTTCCAAGTACAAAGCATTTACAACTATCCTGCTCCAGAAGTAGGTAGCATAAGAAAATAAAAATTTTAAAAAGCATCTTATGTACATATACATGGTATGTATGCAATTTTTTTGAAGTTTAGATTTATATACTGATATAAACATACTGACCCTTTTAACATGCGAGAAGTGCTTTCAAAGCAAATGCATTCCTTTTTTCTCTAACAATTTTTAGCTTTATTAAAAAACAAGATTTTTCAGATGAAAGTAAAAGACTGTGGGAAAGGGTATGCCAACTCACCTTCATATAAGCCTATAGTACTAGTCTAGGTAAAAGCTTACCAAGTGCCTAACATGACATTAAACATCTGAAGAATTCATTTCTTCTAAATGATACTTCCAAAATATGTCTTTCTACCATTAGTCTCTACTATACAGCACATAAGTCAGTTCAAGATTTTTCCTGAGTACTGTTACTAGAAATTTTAATAATTAGTTATACTTAAAAATTTACTCAGGCCAGGCATGGTGGCACAGGCCTATAATCATAGCACTCAGGAGGCTAAGGCAAGATGATTGAAGTTTGCAGCCAGCTTAGGCTACATTGTGAGTTCAAGGATAATTTACAGTACATAGCAAAACCCTGCCCTCCCCCTGCAAAAAATTCAGTACTTTTGTTTAGAAGGGAAGTTTACCTTCTGAAGTAATCAGGTACGCAATAAACACAACTTCTTTTCAGAATCATTTGGAAAGTAAAAGTATTTTCCCTTATCAATACAGTAAACTGAAAAGCTAACTATATGTAACTAAGGAATTCAGATTAAATATGTGAAGTATTTTCCAAATACAAGTTTTATGCACTCAAGAGACAAATCCAGGAATATGGTCTAAAACTGGCATATCATCATAATGGCTACTTACTATAAATTAGTAAGTACGTTGCAAGTATCTCAGTAGTCTTCACACGTTTTTATGAATATTAGCACTTTCACTCATAAAAAGCTATTTAGGAAGTACCAGAACCTAGATTTAAACCTAGGCATTTGGATTGTTAACTGCTACTTCACAATGTTTCACAATACTAGTATCAATGCAAATATATCAAAAAGAGTCTCAAAGGACAACTACATGGCAACAGAGTTTGGTAAGAAAAAACGAAGAAGGAAAGCTACCATCAGTAATGATTTAGCCAATATCTGTATATGTCTGTCCTGGTTGCGCAGATTTTTCCAAAGTTAAGACGCACTCCCAAGAGGACTCTTCTGGGGAAAAAAAAAACTGAGCAAAAGACTCTCAAGACAAGCTCTTCTTTTCAAGTACTCTTGTCCTTTGAGAACACAGAAAAGAATCTCAAGACTAAATATCTTAGTCTTGTATTTAACTTGGCTCTTCGCAAAATTCAACTCTTATCTTAACGGTGCAAGTTTTCTATCTAAAAAACACTTACCCTCTCTTTCCACTTTTTGATGGTGGCCCACTTCTTCTTTCATTCCTCGGACCTGAGAAATTTCTTCCTGATTTTGGGGGACCACTGTTACCACGTCGATTCTGGCGATCTATTCCAGGTCTCTGGCTAGAAAAACTTCTCTTTGCTATCTCTCTCTTAGGAGGTGAAACATTCTCACCAGCTTTTACAACAGCCTGTGCATTCAAATCAGCATTTTTTTTTTCATCCCTCTCTCGTCTCTCATTGAAATCACTACTTTCAGAAGCCGTTTCCCATTCTTCATTTGCCTGATCTGAAGAGTTCTGATTAGATAAATCTGGTGTTTTATTCCCAGAAATATCCCCAGGAGTATTAGCTGGTTCGTGAACCACATTATTAACTGTGCCATTTGTGGGCACTGACACTTCATTTGTTTTTGTAGCAGCCTCCCTCTCTCTTAGGCGTCTAAATCGAGGAGGCTTATCTTGCCTTGGTGGCCGGGTAGGGCGCTGCCTTCGGGGCCTCTCTCTAGCTGGGTCAAATTTACGTTCAAATTTTGGAGGTCGTTTATCTGCTGGTATAGGAATAAATTGTTCATGTCTTCTTGGTGGCTCTCCGTCCTCTGGTTTTGGAGCTTCAGTCTGCCTTGGGTTCCACTGACTATCCCGATAAGCAGGTCTGCGCAGGGTAGAAGGGCGTGAGGGCCGGCCTCCAGGATCCCGCCCGCCACGCCTGAATGTTCCTCCTCTGCCTCGCCTTGTGGGCTCTCCTTTAGGAAGGAAGCCTGGTTTAGATTTCTCATCATCCCGGATGTAAGGCTTTTCAAGTGGCCTACTGTCCATTCGAACATGATTTTCAGGCTTGAAAGACTGAGGTTTCAGAGATTTTTTGTTTTCAGACCGATCATCTCTTTTGGGAAATTTGCCTTTGCTTAAGCTGTCTTTGTCACTTGCACTTTCATGAACTTCACTGTCTGTATCAGTTTCTGAACCACGCTGTCGTCGTCTTTTGGGTACAATTTCAAAATCAGAACTTTCACTTCGTGTTTCACTTTCTTCTCGTTGTCTAAGAGGCCCTGGGGGCACGTGCTCTGCCCTTGGCTTATTGTCTCTATATTGGGGATAGTCACGAGTGTGCCCTCTACCACCCCTACCTCGGCCTCCGTAAGAGCCTCTATAGCTTCGACCCCTGGAGTAATATTCACCTCGGCCACGACCTCTATATCCTTGATCTGGAAACCAATCTCTGTCTCTAGCTTCTTTCCAATAGGTCCGGGGTGGTAAGGTTGACTCTTTTTTAACCACTGGCCTTGAATCTGTTCGAGTTCTCTCTATTCCAACATCTTTGTTAATGGCCTTCTCAGGCTGTTTTTCTTCTTTGACAGCTGGAGATGTAGCAGTTTGCTGGTTTACAGTTTTAACAGTAGGCTCTACCTGAACACTACTTACAGGTTCCAGAGGCTTCTCAATATCTTGAGATGGTTTTTGAGCCAAAGTTGAAGTTTCTGCTGAAGGAAATTTCTCTGGTTCTGGCTGTACTGTTGTTGGAACCGAAGGTGGCTGAACTGGTGCTACAGGTGGTGAAGGGGGAGGAACAAGATCCTTCTTTTCTGTCTTTTCAGGTTTTACTACTTTTTCAGTAGCCTTTTCAAGCTTTTCTCCTTCTTTCTCTTTCCTTTGCTCTCGTTCTTCTCTCATATCTCTAAGTACAGGTTTTTTAATGGGACCTGACCTTCTTACTGGTCTATCATTACCGTCTTCCCTTCTGTTGGAGCTTGGCCTTGGGCCCCAGCGGGTTTCTGCTTTAGATTTATACACCTTTTCAGGTTTTGGTCCTTCTGATCGTATAAAGCTATCTTTTCTTGGCTTTTCTTCTGGCCTTTCTACTGGTTCTTTTGAATCAATACATCTACTGGTTACTTTAGGAAGGCTTATAGATGGCTCATTTCTTTGTTCCTCTGATTTGTGAGAAAAGTTAGGGCCATGAGAAACACTTCTTTTTGGGGCAGGCTGACTTTCAGGGGCAGAAATCTGTTCATCTGGAGTACTGGATAAGGTCTTCTTTTCAGATACTTCAAAACAAGCAGACTGCTTATTTGTATCAGTATGAGGCCTAATGTCTTCCACAGATCTGCTTACAAATTTCTGTACTTCTGTATCGTTTGATTCTCTAACAAAATCAGCTTTTGTATGTGTCTCTAACTGACTATGTTCTACAGAATAAGCAGCAGTAATCTGTTCCTGGTCCAAAGCAGCTTCAGGCCTATCAAGGATGAAAATACAAAGGTATTATCAAAACAGCAGTCCTTCCCATGTATAAGTACACAGCAAAACCACCTTACTTTGAAATACGAAAGAATGGTCTTTAATCATGAAGAGCTTCTTTATCTCTCGATAGTGATAATAAGAGGATCATCCCCCCCCCCCCCAACACACACGGAATAGTACATTATTCAGGGATAGACAAGGAAATACTCAAAATGCCAGACAGGACAAACACTGTAAATGATTCCACTTACAAGAGCTCATAACAAAAAAATTAAGTAGCACTAGAGCTGCCAAAGGTTGAGTGTAGGAGAAAACTGGGGGATGATGAACCAATGATATGACATTTGAGGCATTCAAGATAAGATGAAGATGTTCTAGAGCTCTGCTGCACAATCTTATGGTGGTAAGCAACAATACTGTTTTATACACTTAGATTTAAGAAGAAAGGTCTATTATATATTTTTATAGCAATTAAAAATTAAGGAAAAATGTTCAGACCATACTTGTGAAATTGTAATGCATCAAGACTAATTTCTACCTAGAATGAAAAGATGAATGTACTAAAGCCCATCTGTCCAGTTAATTACAAATAATTATAAAACATTTATCATAAAAACAAGTCTCATAAAAAAAGTCTAACTACACAGCACAAAACATTTCGAGGGTCCTATCAACTGACTGCCACTTCAAAGTAACTCTGAAAATTATTTTTCCTTTTCTTTGCCTTAGAAATTTTCCAGAAGACACTGACTAATAAATGTCTACCATTTCTTACTGATGGAAACACTACATCAACACTTTAGTGAGATTATACTACAATGATAATCTGCCAATTTAAGATCTAATGTTAAGCTCACATCTAATTTTGTGCATAGAACTGTTTTCAATATGCACTAATCAATCCAGAAACGTCAGAATAAGATGGTGACCAAAGACGAAGTGGGGCAAACCAAATAGATGGAAATCACACTATGGCTCAGTATTAAGAATGATCTTCATGAACAACAATTTTTTTTTAAAATGTACTTAGTACAGAGTCTCACTATGCGGATTGGACTCCTAGTGATCCTCCTGTTTTCAGCCTCCCAAGCACTGGGATTACAGGTGCATGCCACCATGCCTAGTCTCAATCGCTGCCTCAGTGTGCAGGGGGGGG